CGATGATGGTGACGTGATCGAAGATCAAAAATTGTTAAAAGACAAGGATGAAGATTCTGAAAGCCATAATGAGGTTAATATTGATATTCAATTGGAAGATGAATTAGATGAGCTGTAAGAAATGTCTTACGTGTTTTTTTTTTTCTTGCAAATAATTTCAAACAAATTAACCTGTTATTTATATATAAACTTTAGCTATGAACAGTATGTAGAGCGCAAGGCAGAACGTGATGTAAAATATAGAGTGAGAAAAATGCGAAAAGAATATGAAGATTGGAATGATATTCAAAAATCTGAAAGTAGCGATGATAGTGATGCATCCACAAGATGATGGTTCTTTATCATCGTCTTCTGGTGATAGTGATTCTGAGTTAGAAAATGAGTCATCTAATGAATTAAAAGGAGAACCGATTAAAAAAAAGAAAAAATTAAACAAACTTAAGCGAAAGCGATGACGATAGCAAAGTTAAAATGCCTAACGGTTAGAGATTGTGATAATGAAAATAATCAAAAGATTAATCAGTCCGATGAAGATGATTACATAAACAATAAGGGAAATCCGATAATAATGAAGAAGATTCTGATTCGTATCCGAAAGATGAAACGAAGATGGATGTCTCTGATGTTAAAGATGCCATAACTAAGTCTAATGGACATTCTTTAAAACGTAAAGCTGTTGATGTTAGTAATCCTGGAGTATCAGCCGCATTCATAGTTAGTCTAAGATCGCATCAATTCTTTATTGTAGATTGGATAAGACAAAATAGTTCCTAGAGACAAAGATAGCGATGAAGAAATGTGGGATGTTAATGAAGTTGACGAAGACGAGAAAAAAATGATTAGAGCAAAAGGTATAAAATATATATATATATTAGTATTTGAAGAAAAAATTATACAGTTTCTAATATTTTCCTTTCGCTTAGAAATTGGTTTGATCACCGCAGAAGCAGTAACTTTAGCGCACCAACTAGTGAATCGACAGAAGACAAAATATGACCTTATAGATGAACGTCGATACACATATAATGATAGGGAAGGATTACCTGGATGGTTTTTAGATGACGAAAAGCAACACACCAAATTGAATGTGCCAGCAATTAAAGAGCAGTGCAGGCAATTAGAGAGCGGATGAAAGCTTTAAACGCCCGTCCAATCAAAAAAATTGCCGAAGCTAATGCTCGGAAAATGATAAGAGTATGAACTTTTTAATTTTATTTTCTTGAATTGATAATTTGTATTATTTAATAACCATGCGTTACTTTGTACACACTAGGCTATGAGAAAGCTCGCCAAACTCCAAAAGAAAACTGATGCAATAATAGAAACTTCTGATTTGACTGAGAAAGAAAAGGCTAATACTATTTCAAAAATGTTAAGTAAGGCGCAGAATAAGGCCGTTCAAAGTTAATTAGTTGGTTAACGTCATCCCCCCCCCCCTCAGATTTCTGCCCCCCCAAAAAACGAACACATATACTGAGCCAATCAGATTTTAGAATTATCGATATGAGCGAAACTGATCTTAATTTTCATTAAAATTATTATTTATGTTTTATACGTCTTGAATGCCTGCATTAGTAATAGTTCGAGTTGTCAAAGACATTGATTACTTAAAAGGGATTAGCTTTCCTTTCTATATCTTTTGTGATATTGGTCTCATTCATATAGACTGGTAGCATTACTGCGAGATCAAGTTTTTTGGGATCATTGGCAATTTTAGCCTTTTATGTGAATGTAATTAAAAGTCATGTAATGCATATATTAGACATTGATTTTAGAGCCTGTTATTTCAAGTAAACTAAAAAGCAGGGATAATTAAGAAAATTAACATATGAAAGTCAGTTGCAAAGGGTGTATAATTAATAGATCGGATGGAGGATTTAAAAAATCGTTCCTGTAAATAATAGTTGTTCTTTTGTTTTGCTGTTACTCACATTATTGTCTAAGCTAGCTTATGTGTCATTTCTTTTGTTATTAAATAAAGTTTATTTTCGAGCAATAATAATAATCCAAGATTATTCAAAGCATATAATTAGTCTATATTTTTTTTTAACTTATGCACCCAGAATTTTTAAACTTGCAATGCTATACTTATTCGTGATAGTTAAGCGTGAGTCCCTAAAATCTTCTACAATATTATCAGATACCTTGTTTGAGATAGATGATCATCTTACATTCCAAGACCTTTTACAACAAGCTGATGTTGAATATGAAAGTAATGAGATAGTGAAAGTTGAAATTCACTGTGTAGAAAATAAACAGTATAATACTGTTGCATCAGGAGTTAAAAGTAGTTTAATATTATGTTGGAAGGATGAAAGAAATGTATCACATATACGATTTACAATTAAAGATGGATCTATTCAATCAACTAGTTCTAGTAATCAATTAGATGCATTTAATATTATTATGGAGCGGTCTACACAATGTTCTCTTCCTCCACTAAAATCTAGCAATTCTAAACATAATAAATTATATAATGATATTCTTAGCAAACTAAAAGATAAAGATTGTAGATGGTTAGATGGAAAAGAAATTACTATAGGTAAACAATTTGTAGAAAGTCTTACAGCTTTGCTATCGTCATCGTTTTCGCTTAAGTTTGTTAATAATTTTTTCTTTTTTTTAATCGGTTCTCCTTTTAATTCATTAGATGACTCAAATACTAGATGTTGAGCAAACAAAAAAAAAAATTGGTAAAAAAGACAAAAAAACCGCCAAAGGTTCGTATAAAAAAAAAAAAATTAAATAAATTAAAATTAAAATTACAAATTAACAACCTTTTTCGATTAGGGCGTTTGGACAAGTTGCCAAAGAACAAGGATATCGTGTCCGTTCTGCATTTAAGCTTATTCAATTAAATAAAAATATAATTTTTTAGAGTCACGATGTTTGATAGATTTATGTGCTGCACCTGGAGGTTGGTGAGTCCATACTGTTTATGTTAATGGCTTAGAGCTTTATACATTTCATTAAAATTTTTAATTCCACCAAAGGTTACAAGTTGCGAAAAAATATATGCCTGTATCAAGTTTAATTATTGGTTTGAAAAATTTCTTAACTGAATCGATTTTAAAAAAAGTTTTGAATTTTATAAAATTTTCAATCCATATTTAAATTTGATAAAAAGGTATTGATCTTGTACCTATTAATCCAATTTCAAATATTATAACCTTACAAGAAGATATTACTACTGATAAATGTCGTTCCGCAATTCGAAATGAATTAAAAACCTGGAAAGCTGATGTGTAAGTAATCATTTATAATATTAATTATATTTCAATATTCTAAATATAACAACTTGATTATTTTTAAGAGTGCGTCATGATGGTGCTCCAAATATGGGTATTTCTTGGTTACAAGACGCTTTCTCTCAAGCTGAATTGACGTTAAAAGCGCTGAAATTGGCTGTAGAATTCTTGAACAAATGAGGTTCTTGTCCATTTACATTAATATAATTGTTTTCTAGTACTTTAATATTATGTGCATACTTATTTTTTCTAACTTGATGATTGTTTGATATTATATAGGCACATTTGTGATTAAACTTTTCAGATCCAAAGATTATAACAATTTGATTTGGGTTTTTAACCAATTATTTAAAAAGGTAGAGGCTACAAAACCGGCTTCATCGAGGTATATTGTACTCCATAAATATTGATACTTGTCTATTCTTTCTCTATTGACTCGAAATTTCTTGGTCCTCGAGCAGTTTTTCAGGAAATTGAGATTGGACCTGTAAACAAATCTATTGATGTTTTTTACATCCAGAAAAAAGAAAACGACAAAGAGAAGGTTACGAAGATGGAAATTACACTTTATATAAAGAAATTTCTGTCTTAGATTTCATTAATTCCGGTGATCCTATTCAAATTCTTGGTGATGTTAATAAATTGAAATTTGATACTGAAAAAGCAAAAGAGTAAATTATATAATTTATGATTAAGAGTTGTTACTTTATCTTTTTATATTAATTTATTTATTACTTAGGTTATTAAATCATGAATCTACAACCGAAGAAATAAAAATATGTTGTGATGACTTAAAGGTTTTAGGCAAAAAAGAGCGAAATATCGTTAAAGAAAAAGTAAGCATAATTTTATTGTTTATTTGATTCTGTCTGTTTGTGAATAACTCTTTTTTTTTGTTTTTCAAGAAGCAGGATCCATCAAACGATGAAAATTCTACTAAAAATTTGACTGAAATGACGAAAAGTCGAAGATCAAATAATTCAAGATGAGGTTTCATATCAATTCATTTATAACTTTGGTGTGTCTATTTACTGTATGCTAATATCTTTTTAATTTTAATTTAATATAGCTTGATAAGCTCACTAAAGAGAAACAAACTCAATTAAAACGACTTCGTCGAAAAGCTAATGAAAAACGACAGAAAAATGTTGTTCGAATGCAGTTAAAGATGATGCCCCCCACCGACATTGCATTGGAAAGTTCAGGGCCTGATGGTGGTGATCCATTATTCGATTTAAAACAAGTTGATAAAACTGGGGTAACTGCATATTTATCTATTTATAATGTATTTATAATGTATTTATAATGTATGATTATACAATAATTAATAACATTTTAATAGGTGTTGAGAAAAATACGCAAAGGAAATATGGACGTGATTCTTGAACAAGACACCGATGATCAAAAATTGTTAAAAGACAAGGATGAGGATTCTGAAAGCCATAATGAGGATAATATTGATATTCAATTGGAAGATGAATTAGATGAGCTGTAAGAAATGTCTTACGTTTTTTTTTTTTTTCTTGCAAATAATTTCAAACAAATTAACCTGTTATTTATATATAAACTTTAGCTATGAACAGTATGTAGAGCGCAAGGCAGAACGTGATGTAAAATATAGAGTGAGAAAAATGCGAAAAGAATATGAAGATTGGAATGATATTCAAAAATCTGAAAGTAGCGATGATAGTGATGCATCCACAAGATGATGGTTCTTTATCATCGTCTTCTGGTGATAGTGATTCTGAGTTAGAAAATGAGTCATCTAATGAATTAAAAGGAGAACCGATTAAAAAAAAGAAAAAATTAAACAAACTTAAGCGAAAGCGATGACGATAGCAAAGTTAAAATGCCTAACGGTTAGAGATTGTGATAATGAAAATAATCAAAAGATTAATCAGTCCGATGAAGATGATTACATAAACAATAAGGGAAATCCGATAATAATGAAGAAGATTCTGATTCGTATCCGAAAGATGAAACGAAGATGGATGTCTCTGATGTTAAAGATGCCATAACTAAGTCTAATGGACATTCTTTAAAACGTAAAGCTGTTGATGTTAGTAATCCTGGAGTATCAGCCGCATTCATAGTTAGTCTAAGATCGCATCAATTCTTTATTGTAGATTGGAGAAGACGCAAATGATGATATTAAAATAGTTCCTAGAGACAAAGATAGCGATGAAGAAATGTGAGATGCTAATGAAGTTCACGAAGACGAGAAAAAAATGATGAGAGCAAAAGGTATAAAAAAAAAATATATATTAATTTGAAGAAAAAATTATACAGTTTCTAATATTTTCCTTTCGCTTAGAAATTGGTTTGACCACCGCAAAAGCAGTAACTTTAGCGCAACAACTAGTGAATCGACAGAAGACAAAATATGACCTTATAGATGAAGGTTTTCGTCGATACACATATAATGATAGGGAAGGATTACCTGGATGGTTTTAGATAACGAAAGCAACATACCAAATTGAATGTACCAGTAACTAAAGAGGCAGTTCAGGCAATTAGAGAGCGGATGAAAGCTTTAAACGCCCGTCCAATCAAAAAAATTGCCGAAGCTAAAGCCGGAAAAAGATAAGAGTATGAATTTTTTAATTTTATTTTTTTGAATTGATAATTTTGTATTATTTAATAACCATGCGTTACTTTGTACACACTAGGCTATGAGAAAGCTCGCCAAACTCCAAAAAAAAACTGATGCAATAATAGAAACTTCTGACATGACTGAGAAAGAAAAGGCTAATACTATTTCAAAAATGTTAAGTAAGGCGCAGAATAAGGTCAAGAAAGAAGTAAAATTGGTTGTTGCTAAAGGCTCTGCCAAAGGTAAAAAAGGCCGCCCAAAAGGTGTTAAAGGAAGATACAAGGTAATTCATCCTCCTGTACAATGATTTTGCTAATTCACGTTGTGCTTATATAATTATTTAATTTAATATTAGATGGTGGATTCACGACTAAAAGGATGCTCGGGCATTGAAAAGGGTCGACCATAAAGTTGGCTCAAGAAAGAGGCGAAGAAAATAATTATTGACTTAGAATGTTATAATTTACTTAAGTTTTTGTTTATCTTAATTGGGAGAAGAAAATTTAGATTATGCTGTATACGCATGGAAAAAGTTGTGGAAGACCATTTTACAAGCAAGAAAAAAAATTAGAAATAACTAAATTCTTGATCGCTCAATTTTTTATATAGTAAATTTTTTGATAAGCTAAAATCTGTCAATTTATTGATTATGTTAGGATATACCTGTTAAATAATTATTAAAATTTAATGATTAAAGTATGTATTAGTAAATTAATAACAGATAACTGATGAATATAAAACCTATTACAGTATTAAATATAACATAGTGCTTACCAGATCTTTATGAATAATACCCTTATCATATAAAAATAAAAATCCAAGTGCTATTTCTTTAGCAACGCATGGTTTATCTGCCTATTGTAATTTTGGAAAATTTGCTATTAAATATTCTCTTAAAGTTCTGTCGTCAGCATATTCTAAAACCATATTATAATATCCATTGCTATCTATATATTAGATATAGTAAATAATATTATTCGTTTAGTATATTATGAGATACCAACTTCAAAAATTGTTAATTGCTTGTTTACCTTTTGTAACTTCATAAAATGTAATAACATTTGGATGGCATAAAACTCTTCGTAATAGTTTAAGCTAATTATATGAAGAATAAGAATGTTTTATTCTAGAGTAGAACATAACTGGGGTTTCAACATAAAAATTGATACCTTATCAATAAAATCCTTAATGATTTTTTCACATTTAAAAGCAACTGTTAATTCATTGTCTCTCTACTTATATTTAAGAACCTTTCCAAAATCTCCAGTGCTTATTTCAATAGGGTTTGTAAATTTATTATATTTAATATAATTAATAAGTCCTTTGGAAATAGCTTTTTCAAGCCAGCCTTTAAAAATTCCAAAATCGTTCAGAGCGAACTCTAATCAGAAGCATTTGATATGATATACCAAGTGGTGTCCGTAGTTCTACAATAAGAATGAAATTGATTAGAATTATCAAATAAAAATTTTAGCAGCATACTAAACAACAATATACTATGGGATGTATTTTTTAAATTTTGACTCTTTGTATAATTTGCAACTTTAGCAGCTTTTAATTAAATTTCTTTCTTCACATTTTCTCAGCTAATTTAGAATAAATAATAGCTAAACTTGTTTGATTAGATATTTATTATAATAACTCTACTTCAGAATCAGGCCAAATAGAATTTGAAGATTTATAAACTTTTATTCATCTTCTAATCTTAATTCTGCAGATAATTCTAATACAATTTTATTAACATAATCACAATATATATTCAAATAAATATCTGTTCCTGATTTGTTATTTAAATCTTGCAACTTGATAAATGTTTGTGAATCATTTTTATTTTTACTAAATTTCTTAAATGCATTATACTTTTAGAGCCTATTCATCATGCAGTAAGTTTAATGTTGTTAGCTGAAATTGTTTTATGCTTGTCAAAATATTTCGACATTTTATATTTAGGCATGTCAAAATTCTAAAATAATGTCGAATTCTAAAATCATGTCAAAAAGTCTAAATATTGTCAAAAGTCTAAATATTGTCAAAATATCTAAATTAAAACTAGACACTTGAGTTGCTTAAAGGGAGTTAGAAATAAGTGTACTATACCTAATATCTTTGCAGAAATCTTGATTTTTGTTAAATATGTTTATACCACAACTACGATAGCAATGCAAGAATCTCATATTGTGGTTAGGCTCCGTAGCTGTGATAGATTAAATTAATCAAAATTCAATTAAATAGAAACAAACAATAATATTTTCATCTTACTGAATATAATTAAATGTATTGCATGGTTTAAAAAAATTTTTTAAAACAAAAAAAGCTTTTATATAATCTACTCTAAACCATACCTTATTAAAAAAACAAAATAATAAAACACTTTCCTGCTAAACACATGTAATATATCTGTCTTTTTAAGTAACATATGTACATAAATAGGTGCTGTTAAGAGAAAGTCTATTATCAGGGTCTTAATTATATTTTGTACCATACACAATTACTAACAAATTAGTGTAAAATATAATTGAAAGGTTTTCTTTTGGCAGCATCCAAATATGTATATAATATATTTACATATAGTTTAAATAAAAGTTATACTATATATGAACTAATTTTTATTATATTATAATGAAACCTATATGGATTTTGTTGTAACTTCAGAACAATTTTATTATATCACTAATTATCACCAATTTAGACATTTAGTTATATAATGTTAATTTAGTCACCTATTTAGACATTTAGTTAAATTTAAAATTTTGACATTTTGACAAAAAATAATGTTATGTCAAAATATATTTTGATACTTAATTGTCTAAATATCTGACTAAATAGAGTATTTTAACTAACAACATTAGGTGAATTTCATTACAATAACTTAATAATAGTGTATTCTTTGATTAAATTTCTAATGATATATTTAAATCTGCAAAGAATTCATTATAAATATTCATTTTGTGACGAGTTAGCTAAAACATACTGCTGTTTTCTTTGGTTTAGCTTCTAGTAATTTACTTCTACAAAATTTGTCATATCTATTCACTATGTAATAAGCTTTCATATATCTTATTACTTGATTCGATTTCTATATTATTTAGATCTGTGTGCGATTCTTTATTTTTTTTTTTTTTTTTTTTTTTAATATTAAAGGTGACCACTTAGGCCATTGGCATGAGCTTTATTTCGGATAGTTA